GACTGAACCTTTAGCCATCACTGCTCCCCCGCACTCCGGATTAGTCCCATAGCCGGCTCAATGAGTCGAAGCTCGTGGGGATACCGGAGGGAGCCAACTCGTCTCAAAGAGATAATTAGGGTTGAGTAACTCCAAAAAAAAAACAGATGATATAATTTAAATTAAATAAAATTTGAATATATTTTTATTTATTCACTTTAAATATAAAATAAACTTATCTAAAACATAGACATGGGCGCTATAGATAAGAACCATCCTCACAGACAATTATCATGTTTATACCAATCACATGAAAATAAGAAGAAGTAGATAAGTTTTTTTTTCTTTTTAAGTGAATTTTTTTATCCTCAAATTAACAAACTTTAATATACCTCGAAGAAACTCTCAATAAGGTGATCAATCTTTATCGCGTAGCCTTAAACCTTTTATAATGGGCTGGCCTGAGAAAATGAAGGCTTTGTTTACTGGTCTACCAATGGGGCTTCAGAAAACTATTGTGTTCTCTTGAAACGTTGTCAACTCTCTCAATCATAAGCCTAGCTTTTTAGGCATGGTTAACTGAGTCCAAATATGGGAATCAACTGATATGAAATTATTTCAGTTTATTTGGTTTTCTGGAATTCGAGTCATAGATATATTAATTATTTTAAAATTTTAGTAGGGATAATTTAAACCGCATGATTCCATTTCACTCGATCAAATTAATCAATTAATAAATCGGTGAAAAAAAATAAAAAAAATAACAAGACAACCTCACACGAGTATATTTTGAGGGGAGATGTTATACTTACTACATCTTTTTCTTACTACTTCTTACAATCAAATCTTAACCGTTGATTTCTGCCAATCAAACAGTTATAATTTATTGAAAATTAATAAGTATGATCTAATAAATTACAACCGTTAGATTAATGAAAATCAATGGTCAAAATTTAGTAGTAAGAGATAGTAAGAAAAAAAAGTAATAACTATAATCTCCCTTTTGAGACTATTAACAATATATTTGTCTCATAACTCAATGCAACTTAGGGGACGTTTGGTTGAGGAGAAATTTTTTGAATACTAGGGAAATGTAATTGATAGGAAAATGGTTGGAAATTGAGTTTGGTAGGAAAATGTAAAAAAAGTTGTTTGGTTGGAAAAAAATTTACCAGGCAAATTAGGTAAGATTTATAAAGTCTATGTTTGGTTTGAGGTAAAATATAGATGGAGAATAAGTGACAATTACGAAAATATCGTTGTTTTTAAAATTTTTGGGAAAATAAAAAAATGAGGCTTTACTTGTCAACTTCACTGCTGTGATCACTGTCTTATTTGGTGCCTTTGTTTTAACATTGTTGTATCAGATGCTCCCGCAACCGAAGATGACTACGCAGCCATCTAGATTAACTTTTGCATCATACTATCATGGATAACCTCATGTATGCTATTTAGTTTGTTCTGGGAGTGGGAAGTTGGAAACAATATATGTTGCGTCTGTATTTTTGGACACCGAGCTTGTAATTAATCATCAATATTATCCTTGAAACATGTGATTGTTCATTAGTTTATATCTGTGTAATTTAATTGTCAACTTTTCCTTGGTCAGCAGTTGAGATCTTAATATGTGGCTAAAGATTGAAAATTCAGTCCATTATGTAAAGATTAAAAATACCAATTATCTATCTTGACTTCAATGTGTTTCTTCTGACATCTCAGTAAAAATACCAGATAATCAGAAACTTAAAGTCCTACAATAGTAAAATCTAAAATGGAACAAATAACGATAATTGTTCACGACAAAAAATAAGGTACAAGGCCTAAATATAACAAGCTGTGATCACAATGTTTAAAAAACAAAAGGTACAAAAGGAAGTAAGCTTCTATCTCATCCATCCACTTTCTCTACATTGACTGATGTAATTGACTCCTCTTATCTAGCAACTTTGCAGCTGGACCGACTCACACAATTGATTTTCTGTGCTTTGGCTTCACGTTTAGTGTCACGTGGGGTGGCCTCCTCCGGTTGGCTTGCTGAGCTGCTGCTAATAGAACTCTTTATAGATTCAATAACTAAATTTAATTCTATTTCCTCCTTTTCTGTAGAGACAGATATACACTTCCAATCTGAGACATTAACTGAAAAAAAATAATTTGCAAATCTGAGATGGAACCAGACACTAACTTAACCAAATCAATCTGAGATGTTATTGCTACCTGTTAGAAGTATTGCCATAGAATTAAATTACTCACACTAACTGAACTCCTACAAAATATTGTCGACATGAAATTTTATGTCACTAATGGAATTGGATAGTTGAACTCCATGGTTGTACCCATTCTGCAGATTGGCTACAATAGAAGGATCAAGTAAAACTTGCATCTGCAACAATAATATAGTTTAGATCCTTTGTACAACAAAATTAAAGAAGCAAAAAAAATGAGAGAATTTACAAATTATGCCATTCAAAATACAGATACTGAGGTACATACAAAAAATCAATTGTGAATGTTAGATTCTATTTGACTGACCAACAGCCATGTGTGTACTATTCACAGCATGGTATTTACAAGACTATTTTTTGAAACCAAACTACACCAAAAAGACAATATACAGAGTCTACCAACATATCCCTTTTTTTCCAAAAAGCCACCTGAAGATAGTATCACAAAGACCTAGACAAGAACTCAGCCACCAGCAACTTTCTGGCATCATGGTTGCATTGCATGAAGATATCTGTCATATTGCTATCCCTGCCCAATCCTTGAACTGATTCCTGTGGGCCTTCTGCATTACCACCAGTAGCCACATCCTTGCCAAAGATTGTCCCCAAAACGTGATAGTATGGGAAAGGCTTGTTGAAAAGGCCCTTGGCATTAGGGTGGCTCTGCAAAATGAAAATCTGGTTGGTATTAGAAAAAAATTTAAGATGCTATATACGTAAATAGACCACAACGTACATTCAATAGAGTAAAAATAGAAACACCTGAGACCTCATTGACAAAAAATAGACATACCATTATGATATGACATTGGACTCTTGAGTAATGTCAAAACTTTAAAATACTACTGTCACAAATATACCAAGCATTTTAATTTAAGATGTCAAACCATAACATTGATCATATGAATAGATTAACATTGATGGGCAGCCATATGACACATAAGACAATACTGCATATACACACAACATTTGAGTCTTAATTTTCCTTCCAATTCTTCCCATAAGTCTATTTCTACATTATGTTTGTGATAATTTTTTTTATAAATTCCACACCAATACTAAAGTCTAAAATTATATCTCTGTGTACTTATAGAAACACCAAAACAAGGGCTCACAAAACGAGTTTACGAAGTTATAACCATCATACATACAACACTATCAACATGGAAATTTCTCAGTAGACTATAAATCACATAAATTGAATTGCTCCATGAAAGCTAAGATGGGTCATGACTGATGTATGTTACCACATTCTAATATTATATAATAACAGTCTTACCCCTATGTACCCATCTCCTATAGCTATCATTAATTCTTATTTATTGGTACGGTCAATTACCAAAAAATGTGCAGGATTTTTACAGTGGTTAAGTACATTTTTTTAAAAGGAAAATTGCACCTGTCATTGCATAATAAGAAAAGTGAAATTAAATTTTTATGCATTGATGTTGTGATGAAATACCTTAAAAGATGTATGGATCTTAAGGCAGAGGAAGTTATAATAAGAAAAGTGAAACAGTAAAATGTAGTTAATAGTCCCCATCTACGAACTTCATTGCCCATAGATGCAATATTTCATGATGGCACACAAATATTTGATTATAACTTTGACTTTTGGGTCCTTATACCATTTCAGTATAAGACTAAGGGCATGTTTGGATGAGCTTTTTTTTAAAAAAAAAAAAGCACTTTTCGTTTTTAGTTCGTTTGGATGTCTGCTTTTAAAAAAAAGAAGAAGTCACAAAAAAAGTCAAAAACCTACTTTTCTCATAAGCTAAATTTTTTAACTTCTCGGAAAAGCAGAAGTCAAAAGCCAAATATTTTTTTCAAAAACTAAATATTTTTATAAAAATATAAATAACTTTAACTTTTGTAAAAAATACTTTTAAAATAAAGAAGTAGTAAAAGTTACTTTTAGAAAAAGCTGAACCAAACAACCTCTGATTGCATTTTAACTATTAATGCTACTCTTACTGTTCAAGAGGTTCTTAATCAATATAAGATTTATATGGTAGGGACTTAATTCTTTATTTATAAAAAGAATCACCTAAAGGAGTGAGACTTTGAGTAAGAATTAATAGATAATATCTCTTTATATCTTAATTTGTTGCTTCTAAAAGCTATGAAATTTATTGGGTGGTCTAGAGCACTTACCATATTACAATACAGACAAATAATTAACACTCATCTCATATTTACTTACCACTCAATTTGCAACTTAATGTCCGTGAGTGCAATATTCATCATAGTCCACAAATATATATATTATCAACTTGAGTGATATCATATATTGCCCATAAGTGCAATATTCGATCATATCGCACTAATGTTTTCTCACCAACTTTTATTTTATTTATGATCTTCACGGGCTATTTTTGACAATTGAAACCATTTCAGCTAAGTTTCATTTAATTCTTCCCTTCTTACTTTTGGCAAATGAAAATTTAAGGTAAGACAAAAACAAGGCGTAAAGAAACACATGTAAAACAGGTAAGTTCTTTGTCCGAATAGAGTCATGATGATCAAATGCAAGGCACGCTTCTGGCACCATGAACCACTTTTGTTAATTAGCAAATAGTGGGCCACTTCAAGTATGCTTTGGTATATGATCACTATCATTATTCAAATGTTAACCTATCTCGTGATCTTCTACAGACTGGATTCACATGACACCGAAAGTGAAACTGTTGATGCTAAACAAATGAAAATAATTATTCCAACAACATTCCAAACATCACTATAAATTGACTTCAAGGCAACAGAGCAAAGTAGACCTAGCCAGGGAATACAGAGAGTATGGAACAGTCTAGTGGCAATGCTTTGGTGCAGTGGCTGGTAGCAACATTGCTCATTGCCTTGTTGGGTGGTGCTCAAGCTTTTGTAATATGCAACATAGACACAACTCAGCTAAACTCATGTCGTACAGCAGTTACTGGTCCAAACCCACCACCACCAGATGAAAAATGTTGTGCAGTTATCCGCAAGGCCAATCTGTCTTGCCTCTGCAAATACAAGTCTCTTCTACCTTCGCTTGGAATCGACCCCACAAAAGCTTTGGCCTTGCCCAGTAAATGTGGTCTGCAAAAGCCTCCTGGATGTAAAGGTAAGCATCTAAAACCTGAGTAGACCTTGAATATATAAGTTACTTGTGCTTATATTTGAGAAGATAATGTTTCATGACTCAATCATCTTCGTTTTTGCAGTGAATTGAACCAATTAATAAGGCCACTTCCATTACAAGCACCTCTTAGTCCTTCATGTGCTTGTTAACACTAAATAAGCTTCTAAGATAGCAGTGATGCCCCTCAGATAAAGTGTGTAGTTTATTTTAATCAGTGTGTTTCGCTCATATGTTCGCAAGCAGATGTGTGATGTATCAATCAGTGTCTGATATTGTAGATGTAACAATGGTATTTGATGTACAAGAGTACCAGATATCAGTATTATTTTCCCTCAGTGTCATACAAGAATATCTAGACGTTTATCATTCCTTTCCACTGCAACCTGTAATCTGTTTAATGAAATTTAGTTTCTTGGGATCTGAATTCAAAACGGAAAAGCAATAAATGACTTGGGACAGTAGCAATATTGAAGTACCCTTATTTAAGGCAATATAAGAATGTACGAAGTTCAGCCCCTAGGCGCATCAACAAGCCATGACCAAAGATGATAATCCAAAATAAGATATTATGTACAAATCACCGCACTTGCTCATGAAGCTAACCCAATAAAACCAGCATATACAGTTTCAACCCTCAAAATTTCCATAACTTGCATAAACTCAAATCAACTGCTGCCAGCTAGCCGCAAGAATCATGACTAAGAAAATATGAACTTCCCAAAAGCTTTATACAAAGTTCGAACTCCTGTGTGACATTCAAAAAGCCAGCTGATCGCTAACTCAGTTATATGTGCTTCACTTAATCATAAAAAATACTGGCATTGAATGCTCATGGAAGCTATGATAAACAGTTTTTCATGATAATAGCATGTCAGCTTCCTTAGCCCAAATGCTCGATAACAAGCTCATTAATGGCTTATGAAAGAAGTGAATTTGAAAACATTAAACCGATTGACAGAAGGGAAGTTTTAGCTCAGAGCACACTCCAACCAGCTTTCTTTCCCAGTGAACACCTCTCTTTCATTGTCCTTCTCACATTTTCTGCTTCTTCCCACCTCCCAATAGAGCTATACATATTGGCCATCATTATATAGTACCCATCATTTTCTGGTTCAGAGTCAATAGCATACATGGCAATTCTTATTCCCATCTCAACTTGATTGTAAGTTTTACAAGCACTTAACAAAGCTCCCCACACACCACCATCGGGAGAAACGGGCATAGATAGGACCAGAGCTTCTGCTTCTTGTAGATTACCTGACCTTCCTAAAAGATCTACCATACACGTGTAGTGCTTTAGATTGGGTTTCACAGAAAAATTCTGCATTTTAGAGAACAAGCATTTCCCTTCTTCAACAAGCCCTGCATGAGCGCATGCTGAGAGAAGAGCAAGGAAGGTAATTCCATTTGGCTTAACATTCGTTTGCTCCATGTGTTGGAATATCTCCACAGCAGATTCTGCATATCCATTCGTTCTATAGCCTGAAATCATCGCATTCCAGCAAATTACATCCTTCTCCATAATTGAGTCAAATATCTTTCTTGATTTTTCTAGCTGCCCACACTTAGCATACATATCAACTAAAGCTGTGCCAAGAGGTAAATTGAGCTTAAAACCTCTTTCATTTATGTAGTGGTGAACTCTTTCTCCTTTCTTTAGAGATGCAAGGTGAGAACAAGCTGAAAGCACTTTCAGAAATGTGGCTGTATTGGGCTTCTGATCTTCCATAATCATTTTATCAAATAAATTTATAGCCTCTTCATAATGCTCCACATGAATATGAGATGAAATCAGAGTGTTCCATGAGATAACATCCCTCTCCGACATATTAAATATTCTCCAAGCAAAGTTCATCTTACCACATCTTCCATACATCTCTATGAGTGAGTTGGCGACTGAGACATTGTCATCCATAAAACCTTTTATCACATTGCAGTGAATCGACCTTCCCAAATTGGTTGCTTGTAGCTCGGCACACGAAGCAATTGCTGAAACTACGCTGATTGATTCAGAATGAATACCTAAATACTGCATCTCCCTGAAGAGTTCAATACACTTCACATTCTTGCCTATTCTACCATAGCCAAAAACCATAAAGTTCCAGCACTCTATGCCCTGTTGACACCCCTGGAAAAGTCTCTCCGCAAAACTTAACATTCCAAACTTGCAGTACATAAACAGCAACGAATTATTCACTATCTCATCAGCCACGTAATGTCTCCGTATGATTAATCCGTGAAATGCTTTCCCTTCAGATACATTCATGGAATTACCGAAACCTGAAAGGATGCAACCAATAACAATTCCATCTGGGTATATTTGGTTTTCCAGCATTTCCCAGAAAAACCTCACACATTCAGTCATCCTTCCAAACCTTGTATAAACACCTATGATAGATGTCCAAGACAGAAGATCCTTGTTGGTCAATTCACAAAAGGACCGATAAGCCTCTTGGGGGACCCCACATTTGCAATACAGAGACAAAATTGAAGATTGTATAACTTCTGAACATTCAATCCCGTTTTTAATGACCACCCCATGTAAACACCTACCTTCTGATAGAGCACCCAGATTCCCACAAGCAAGAAACCCACCCTCCAATGTTCTAGAGTTGGGCTTCTGAGCATCTTCCCCAATCCCATGCATCTCACGAAGACACATCAAACCCTTCTCACTCTCCCCATTTTGAACGTACCCAATGACAAGGGCAGTCCAAGCAATCACATCTCTAACAGGAATATCATCAAACACGTTAACGGCATTGTTCATTTGACCACACCTGAAATACAACGACACGAAAGAAGACCCAACAGCGGAACTACAAGGAAAGAGGCCAATTTTGGAAGCCAACCCATGAAGGTTCACGCCATGATGGAGCAGCATCAAGTGGGCACATGCAGCAGCAACCATGGGGAGGGTGAAATGGTTGGGCAAAACGTTAGAAGCACGCATTTGGGAGTAAAAGGAGAGAACTTTAGGGAAATGGGAGCGCGAAAAATGGGATTTGAGAATAGAATTCCAGAGAAAGGTGTCTTTGAAATGAAGGGAGTGAAAGAGGGTGGATGAAGAAGTGGGGTGGTTGAGAGAGTCATAGAGAGAGATGAGCTTGGAGGAGATGAAGAGGTTGGTGGAGTTGCCGGTGGTGACGGTGACGGCGTGGAATTGAAGGAGAGCTTCAATGGTTGTGATGTGCTTCGAGAGAGAGATGAGTTGTTTACTATGATCATGTTTCAACAGAAAGCTCATCAGGATTGTTGTCTACCGTTGTGGCAGTTAACCCAAATTCATGTTGCAATTTGATCCAAACCAATTATCATTAGTTTAGTTTTCAAATTCATGACTTCTAGACTTAAACCTCTAACCCAATTACTCTATCAACCCCTTTTTTGTTGACCTTTTAAAAAAATTTGTTTTAAATTCAACCAGGTCTGTCATCTCATTGCTTTGACAAGAGATTCAAACTTTAGCTAAAACAATTTCTTAAATGAATTTATTTTAAATTAGATTAGTTGAAAAATGATAAACTGATTAAAATATTTAAAAAAAAAATCTTGAAATTTTTTAAAAATCAAAGAAAAACTGTCTCCCTCTCTGAAAAGGAGATTAGTTTTACCCTTGCATCATCTGTTTCAACAAAGAGCTAATACTTTCAAAAATAAGGTATCTACTAGCCAAGGGAGATTGTGTGTCTATAAAAAAAAATCCAAACTGTTAGCAAATGTACTTTAGGTAAAGAGATTAATAGAATATATAAAAATAAAATAAAATAAATGTTAGTAAAATATAATATCAATATTTAGAATTATTCTGATTATTGTTTCGGGTCATGAAAGAATAATAAATTTGTATTTTACCTTATAGTAATAGAAAAAAATATTGGATGAGAACAAAAATTTAGAAAATTAATATAACTTGTGTTTTTACTTTAAATTGATGACCTGAGTCAAATTTAACCTAATTTTGATCGGATTGGTTTAAATATTTTTCCAAAAACTAAATAAAATCAACCCAATTAAATGTGAACAATTTGAGTTTTTTTCTTTTTTAATTCTAAGCCCGAATCAAATTAATATATGAACACTTATACTAACCAATATAGTTGGCCAAATGAAATAATGAGCGTGTATAAGTGTTATTTTTGTTCCAGGACTATGGCACTTTTTTAAATAAAATCAACCAATTAAATTTGAACAATTTGATTATTTTTATTTATTCTAAACCCGAATATAACTAATATATGAACATCTATACTAACCAAGATGGTTGGCTAAATATAGTAACGAGTTTGTATAAGTAATGCTTTTTAGGGATGTCAATATAGGTTTTGACACGCGGGTCGACCCGCGACACGGCACTAAAATTCGTGTTCGGGTTGACCCGCAAAAAAATTCGTGTCGTGTTCATGTTGATGTATTCGTGTTCGTGTCGACCCGTATTTTTTAAATTTTTTTTTTTTTAATTTTTTATTATTATTTTTTTAATTTTTTATTATTATTTTTTTAATTTTTTAAAATTTTGATCTATTTTTTTTAATTTTTTTTATCAATTATCGTTTTGACCCCTATTTTACATGTTATTCGTGTCGTGTCGTGTCAACCTGCAAAAAATTAGTGTCGTGTCATTGTTGAAGATTTTGACACGAATAAAAATTTGTGTCGTGTTAGTGTTGATGTATTCGTGTCGTGTCGAATTCGTGTCGTGTCGACCCGTTTTGACACCGCTAATGCTTTTGTTTCGAGACTTGGCGCTCGTCTCCTAGTTAGTTAGGAGGGGGATCGCTAAACTCGCCTTTACTCGTCAATCCGCAATGTCTCACCCTATGGTGCCGTGGTTTTTCTCCATGATCTCTCTGACACCACTAAATTATCCATTATCACATGCGAGATTTCAACTCTGGAATACCTTGCTCTCCCAACTATCACAAAAACTCTATAAAAGGTTGGTACAGTGACAAGGGAACACAACACTTACATTTTGTTGAAAATCGAGAATATACAAATCAAAAACGGAAAAGAAAAAGAGAGAGAATAGACACACTGATTTACCCTGGTTCATCTAATTTAGGCTATATTCACTTCACTTCACTTCACCGCTGCTTGTCTGTACTATATTCACTTCACCGCTGCTTGTCTGTACTATATTCACTTCACCGCCACTCGTTACAAGTCTCGTTACAAGTCTCTCGGTTTACAAGGCAAATATAAATATGATTACAAAACCCTAACAACAGCTATTCATGGACCCAAGTCCAAAATGCTAAGAAAATTACAATAAAACAGAGGTCCACAACAGTACCTAGCCTCTACTATATTCACCTCAATTGCCTTTCTGCTGACTCCGACAACTAGGGTCATCATCAGCATGCGAAGTATGAGTCATACCCAGCACATTTGAGCACTCGCTCCTCTCCACAGTCAAGAGTATTCTCACATTGTGTACACACACCCTTGGTTGTTTCCATTAAATTGTGAATGAAGATTTTGATTCACCGATTGTTAGACGTCTCTACCATTTTTTCATAAATATAAATATCATCTTCCACCAATTGGACATTACCAATTCATAAGGTGGAATTGCGAGTTTCATATCATACTATTAATCTCTTGAGTTTGATGTTTGTCATTTTAAATGACATAAATTATATTATTTTAGGAGAGATAGACAAAAAAAAAAAAAATAGAAATCATGAGAGAGAGAAAGTAGATGCTTTTTTTAATTTACAATTTAAATAAAAAAAATATTTTGTATGTATCTCTCTCTTAAAATGACATAACTTTATGTCATTTAAAATGACGAACACTTTTTCCTAATGTCTTCGTGCACTTTACTTCTTATTATTACGACTATCTAATGAGATTTATCTTAAAACATTTCACTATTTTTAATGGTAATTTATATAATTCTTAATACTTTGAATAATAACAAATTAATCACATTTGTTTAGGGAAGTAAATAAGTTAGACCGGTCTACAGAGGCCTACGATCTAGCCTAAATTAGGTCAAACTAGGCCTCTTACAAATAGTTTAATAGAACATGCCTAGGCTTTTAAAAAAAGGAAAGTTATACTTATCGGGAAAGGATATATTTACCACCAAAAAAGTTTACAACATTTACAACCAACTTAATCACTGTTGATTTCTGTCAATCTAACGATGATCATTTATTAGAAATTATTGAGTCGCATTTATTAATTAATTATTAATTTCAATGAATGATAACTGTTAGATTGACGGAAATCAATGGTGATTAGATTGGTTATAAATGTGGTAAACTTTTTTGGTTGTAAATATATCCTGCCCCATACTTATCACCTATTTTCGTTTATAACTTTTTACAACCATATCTTAACCGGTGATTTTTGCCAATCAACAGTTATCATTTATTGCGAATTAATAATTAATTAACGAGTTTGATTTGCGAAAATAATAATCGTTGATTGAAAGAAATCAACGGTTAACATATAATTGTAAGAGGTTGTAAACGAAAATAGGTTGTAAGTATAACCTTACTCTTTATAAAAACCTATTCAGAAAGCAGATTGTAGGCTTTTTTTGTACATGTCGGGCCTATAAGCTTACAGGCCGACCTAGAAGTCTACAAGCCGGCCTATATCATATTATTTAATAATTTTGAAAATAAAATAATATTATTTTAGTTATTTTTTTAAATTATGAAATGTTTAATATGGGTTTAAACAGACTAATAGGTCAAAGTTAAGGCTTTTATTTTTTAAATATAGGTTAGACCATACTTATAGTTTGGACCTATATAGACTAATAGGGCCAGACCTTTTTTTTTTTTTTTTTACATGCCTATTTAACGCAAAGCTTAGTCTAGCACTAGCCTATTTACACTCTTACATTTATTGCATTTTATTTTAAAACTTGAATAAATAGGATTTAGTCAAACTTTAGTATAAAATATCCCCACTAAAAAGTGGGATTTATTCTTTTTACTATTGTAGCATTAATAACGGCTACATTGTACTATTGCATTGATGATAATTACGATTGTAGTATTGATGATAGTTGTGATTGTAGCAATAATGATAGTTATTGTATTTGAATTTAAATTGTGCAACGCCAGAATAAACCTTTATAGTTTAAAATTTGTCACGATATAAGCATATAAATTGTGTAATAATAGGCTTAACATTTGAATTGTGTAAATCAGGCCTTTATATTATAGGGCTGGACAAATCAATAAGCTAATATTGTACCGTAATCATAATTAATGTTATAATCGCAACAATGGTTCCACGGTTTTAAATCTATGTACGTTCCACCTACATTGATACGAGACACGGAATATGACACGACACTACATTTCGACACGTTAATTCTAAAAAATATTACATTTCGACACGTTTTGATATTATATAATATTTTTAATTTATGTAATGTATATTATATTTAGTATTCAATAATTTAACAAAAAAAATAAAGTTAAACTTGTAATACTCATCAATTTTGCAAAGAAACATAATATATCTCAAATATTTATATTAAACTCAATAAAATCATAATTGTAATCTAACAAATCTAATAGTTGGAACTCAAAATGCAACTCAACATAACCTTTAAATCTTTTTTGAGTCTTTGCAACGAGTATTGGAGTGTCAGGAAGTGTCGGAGTGTCGGACACGACACGTCAAGATTTTTGAAGTGTCGTTACTTCGTAGTTTCAAACATTCCGGTTGATTTATTTTCCAATCTTCTTGCCAAAATCCCTCTCTCTCTCTTTAATTCTTCCAGCCTAACTTGCAATTGTTTATAATTGTTCAAAATTGTATGCTAGGACTTTTTTAATTAACCAAAAGTCACGTATAATGAGAATCACATACATAAAAGGATGTAGTAAGGATATTATTAAATACATTTTTTTGCTCCCACTATGGATTTTATTCTCAAAAGTTCCACTATTTTTTAAGCGAAATGTTATTTTATCTACCATTTTTTTTCTTTACCTTTGCCTACTACCTTCCAACACCGTTAGATCAGAATCTTAAGAAAAGAGAGAAAGATAAATATTAGTTAAGATTCTAATCTAATGGTGTTAGATGGTGATAAGCAAAAGTAGGCAGAAAAAAATGATAGATAGAATAACCTATCCCATTTTTCAAATGTAATATTTATAATTCCCAACGCTTTGAATGATAATAAATTAATTACATTTAATTTTAAAAACAATGCTATCACATTTATAGGAGAAATTCACTCTGCCACTGCAAATTTCATTCGGTATTGTCATGTTTTAGCACGTGTGTTTTTATTGCAGATTTTAGGAGCATGCCACGTGTCTTCAACGCACAAAAAAAAATAACTTCTGAATTTCACCTGAATATTTTGAGAATGTGCAATATTTTGGTCAATCACCCTGACATAGACACAATTTGAAATAATTAAATATTTTAAAAATATACAATTACATACTAAGTAACGTAATGCAAATATAAATAAATAATTATTTGGGGTAAAATTCTGAAACTGTGGGATTGATATTCTCTTTTAACATAAACCACCAATTGATTGCATTCAACTAGAAAAAAGGGATAAAAAAGAAAAATAAAATAGAATATTATATTATCAATGAGTGATATGTGTATGAAATTAGTGAAAACACTATATAAAACAACAAAAAGGAAAGAAACAATATTATAGTCCTCGAGGCACAGAATTTCTCCAAATTTCACTCACTTCAATGGTCCTGTTTATCACAAATTCTCTATAAATGATCAATCACTAAAACTATATAATCAATCAGTCATAATTATAAAATCAAACAGATATTCGTTACTAATGGACAATTCCTATAATTCATCCTAGCCAACTTCTATTAAAGGCATTCCCTTTTCCATCTGGACTGTATAATTGTCACAAGAATTTCAGAAAATTTTCTGAATATGAAAACCATGTGGGATTTCAGGCCTCTCTCTCATGTACTAGTTCTGTTTATTTTTCAATTACTGGTAGCATTGGTCTCTTCTGCTGGACCTGGTACAAGAACTGGCTGGAAAACATTTCAAGGTGTGTTTTCAATTTTGCTTCTGATACTTCTCTTTATATTTCATATTTTCCAAGTCTCGTTTTAATGAATTCTTGTTTCAATTTGATACATGTTGGTGTTGACATTCTTTCAACAATCACAGCAACCTAAAGTGATAAACTTTTTTTAATCTTTAAAAAAACATAAGAAGTACTCTATCGTCATTCTTTTAAGTAAAATATACTAGTTTTTCACCTTACACAAATTTTCAAATAATGAGCTCTTATACCACATTTAACCATCATTAGATATAAAGTTGTTATGTAATGTAGTGCATATTTTTCTGGTGCTTTTCAGAAACGAATGACAGAAATTAAACATTGTGCAGCATGATGTGTATATTTCTCTAGCTCCACGGTTATCTTACACTTTGTATTCCTGACATACTTGGAAACTCGTGGCTATAGTGTATTTCATAGTAATTCATATGCTCATTTAATTTGATTTTGGTGTGCAGGATCTCCACCACTGGTCATTGCACGAGGTGGATTTTCAGGGACATTTCCAGATTCAAGTTTTGCTGCATATAGTTTGGCAGTGAACACTAGTGTTCCAAATGTTATTCTATGGTGTGATGTTCAGTTGACAAAGGATGGAGTTGGGATTTGTTTGCCAGATATCAAGCTAGACAATGCCACTGACATTTCCATCGTTTACCCTGGTGAAGCAAAGCTTTACTTAGTTGATGGGGTTCTAACTCAGGGATGGTTTTCTTCGGATTACACCTTGAGAGAACTAGCAAGTGTCTCAGGTGAGTTCAGTCTATCTTGAACACTACGTTTCTATAATCAGCTATGCCATTCTTGCAAAGACAAAGCCAAACCTGGCTAAGACTTTTTTTTTTTAAAAAACAAAATTATTTTCTTTATCAACTAAGAGATTCCCACAAATAAGAAGATGGGGTTTGGTGAATGTAAAAGTTTCCTTAAGACTGAAACTGGTTTTTGGTGCAGACCTTTGATAAATGCTCAGAAGTTGCAAACTTATTCCTTAACCTTTGTTTGCATTTTTTAGATGTGATCTGTGTTTATAATCATTGATAATTTTCTTGTTACTGGACAGTTCTTCAGGGAATCTTCTCTCGAACAGAAAGACTTGATCGCAATCAATATCCCATTCTCACTGTTGAAGATGTGTTTAAATTAGTTAAGCCACCATCACCCGGTCTGTGGTTGAATGTTCAGGTAAATGGATGAGTGTTTTCTCAACTTTTACCTAATATAGAGTCTTAAGAGTTTAGACATGTAGGATCTGATTATGAAGCTATGATGTTTACTTAATATGCTTGTTAAATACAATGCAGCATGATGCATTCATCAACCAACAGAAGTTGAGTACAAGAAGATTTCTACTTTCTCTGTTTGCTAAAGGTGTATCAGTCAGTTACATATCATCACCTGATGTGGGTTTCTTGAGGAGAATGAGATCAGTCATCAGTCCTAGAACAACCAAACTGGTCTTTAGGTTTCTAGAGGAGAATAAAATTGAACCTGCAACCAATCAGACTTATGGTTCACTCTTGAAAAATCTCAAGGATATCAGGACCTTTGCTGATGGAATTCTTGTAACCAAGGGTTATATATGGCCTGTAGACCCATCCCTTTATCTACAACCTCATACCTGTCTTGTCTCAGATGCTCATAGAGAAGGGCTTCAAGTTTTTGTGTCAGACCTAGTTAATGATGTTCCATTTAGCTACAATTTCAGTTATGATCCTCTTGCTGAGTGCCTGTCTTTTATTGACAATGGTAAATTCTCTGTTGATGGTGTGCTCTCTGACTTCCCAATAACTCCATCCGCAGCCATAAGTAAGTTTCCTTTCACCTTTATAAAAACGTGTCTTCAAAATTACCTGTATCCTTGTCATTTTATTACACTAACAATAACACACACAGACACATATCAACTGTGAATCAGTGATGTATTCACATAATAAGTTGAACTAGAAATGCATCATATCCATGCGAATATGTAAGACTATTATTCACACATTCTGGATCCTTAATATCCTTTTTCAATATGAACCCAAGATGAATATGTAATCAGTTGACAAGTTGCATGTAACCTCTTTCTAATTTATGCACAGTCACTTGACAGTTAGTGTTATTTTAGTGCCATCATTGATTTTACTGTTTCTATTTAAATTAGCATTTGAATTGAGATTCTGAAATCTTTGCTACTGCAGATTGCTTTTCTGGCCTAGGGGAAAACGCCCCAAAACAAGGTATATGTTTTCCTTGGTCTTTATTGATATATGAGGGAGAGTATTTTTAGATCATTCTCTTACATCTTTCTTGTTTCAGTGGAGACTTTGGTTATCTCAAAATATGGGGCAAGTGGAGACTTTCCTGCTTGCACTGACTTGGCTTATAAGAAAGCTATATTTGATGGAGCAGATGTGATTGACTGTCCTGTTCAGATGTCCAAGGATGGAATACCATTTTGCTTAAGCTCTATAGATCTTACGGAAAGCACAACAGTTGCTAGGTCAAAATTCAGGAACCTTCAAAGAATTATCCCAGAAATTAAACCTGGCAGTGGCATATATACATTCGCCTTGACATGGAATGAGATCAAAACCTTGACTCGTAAGTTCACTGATGTTCCCGAGTTCTTATTATCAAGATGTGGTTTGTATCCTTAGATGAACAATTTTGATGGATCTAGAGAGTTAAAAAAAATAGATGTTACTTTAGGCATTACCTTTTTGAATGCTAATAGAGATTTAGCTTTCCATTTGGTGATCCTATCAAGTTTTAGTTAAAAGAAAATTATTATAAATAAGGTAATGGAAATGAAACGTGCTCTCAACAAATGTTGACATCCCTCAATTTGCTATTCTCTATTTTTCTTGCAGCTTCAATGTTGAACCCCTATGAAAACTTCACATTGTACAGGAATCCTAAATTCAGAAATCAGGGAATGTTTTTGACCTTGTCTGATTTTTTGTCCCTGACAAATGGTCGGACAACTGGTCTCTTGATCAGCATAGAGGTGTGTTCTTCATTTCTCTATTTTTGGTTTACGTTTTATTCTTCTGTGAGCTTTACATTCTTATAGGTTGTTACTATGCATCTTGTAAATTCTTTTGATAGTCACATGATCTAATATTTTGTTCAAGTGGCTTGTTCAAATGCAATTAAGGACAATATTTGCTTAGATGTTAATTAAGGCCTTGTTTTTACATGTAATGAAACTAGTTTTCACATATAATTTTATAGTCCTTGTTGTTAATTTGCCACAAGTATCTTTAATTCTTACATAGAAAATGCTGCATTTCATTAATGCTAAGAATAATTAGTTAGTTATCAAGGTAGAAAACGACTATTTTCCACCTTGATTAATTTCTTTTCAACTTTGTTAATGACACTCCCAAGTTTATTTTTCCTTGTCAGAATGCAGCCTACCTTGCAGAGAAGCAGGGACTAAGTGTTACCAATGCAGTCCTTAATGCTTTGCAAAAAGCAGGTTATGATAAGCCAGGTCGCAAAAAAATTATGATTCAGTCCACTCATAGCTCCGTACTAAAGATATTCAATGGGAAATCCAACTATGAAAAGGTATACAAGGTTGATAAGAGTATTAGTGATGCTGTTGATTCAGCTGTTCAGATCATCAAGACATTTGCAGATTCTGTGGTGGTTGGAAAGGAATCTGTTTTACCTGAAACTTCAGCCTTCCTAGTTTACTATACAAACATTGTAAAAAGGCTACAATCCTTCGATCTCCCAGTTTATGTAGAAACTTTCAGCAATGAGTTTGTATCTCAAGCTTGGGACTTCTACTCAAGTGCATTTGTTGAGATAAATTCATTTGTTCAAGGAGCCAAAGTCAATGGCATTGTCACTGACTTCCCTAAGACAGCTGATAGATACAGAAGTAAGTGGAAACTTATATATATAACATAATTTGCACCTTGAACAAGTTTTGTAGATAATTGACCTTACTTAATCCATAGTTTGTCTTATATTATGAAGTCATTTAGCCCTCATTGCTGACTTGAATGTTGTTCTACTTGTTGCAGGGAACAAGTGTTTAAAGATGGGTGAGAAACCAGCTTACATGAGCCCTGTTGAACCTGGCAAACTTTTGAAACAAATTCCTAAGGTGTCCCTTCCACGACCTCCTCCTTCACTTCCAGTCTTGACTGTTCCTAATGTCACAGAGCCACCTTTGGCTCCTGTTTCAGTATAGCCACCACCAAAGCTTAAAGAAAAACTAGGAGGAATGAGAAGGATTTTTATGAATAGAAAGTATTATATCAAATTAAAACATTATTATGATAACTTTATAGTAATAGGTTATTTTTAGAGCATCTTTTTTATTATCAGTTGAATTCCATATGGAGATTATTGTCCCTTGCTTCTATCAAATACACTATGCTTTTAATTTTCACATATATGTAGTCACTTAATTTTTTTTTTTTTGAGTTACTCAACCCTAATTATCTCTTTGAGACGAGTTGGCTCTCTCCGGTATCCCCACGAGCTTCGACTCTTTGAGCCGGCTATGAGACTAATCCGGAGTGCGGGGGAACAGTGATAGCTAAAGGTTCAGCCCCCTCCCCAAGAATGCATTCAGCGGGAATCGAACACATATTCAACCCCACTAACTCAGCGCCAAATTATCAACTGAGCTGCACCCATTTGGGTGGTCACTGTTACTAACATAAATCATATTATAAATTATAATTGAGAATATATATGTAATGACAGCTCTTATTAGATACAATTACCATAAGACGAGAATGTCGATGATGTACGTCTTCTTAACACAAGAAATAAACCAAAAATAAATAAAAAAATTCTTAATATTTTTGCAGCAAATTTCTTATTGCACTGTCCAGCGGAAGACAGCTAGACCCCACTATTGTTTACTATTTGCACTGATAAAATATAAAGAATTAAAATCCAAAATGTAACCATCAAAAAAAAAAGTTTGAATAAGGAATTGTTGCCATCATGGCGCAGACACTGCCACCCAGATATTGTTGTCCCTTTCCTTCTCTGAATCACAATCATGTATTTTAAACCAGATCAGAGATTAGCAAAACCATAGTTTTGGTTATTATATCCATAAACCATAAATCATATGAGGACGAATTTATTAAAAACTTAAAACTCTTGCAAGGTTGCAATTTTAATCTTTTATTTGTAGAATTAAATCTTCAACTTACGTTACTCGTTTAATTATACAATGCAATTATACAATGCAGCCACTTTCAACAATGCCTTTATCAACTCACATTAAGCAACATTCTGATCATCTTACAAATTCTTAACACTCAGATATGCACATAAAATAACCATCCTCAAACAAGACCAGCTGAAATCGTATCTCAATCGATTCAGGTAACACCGAACACGGAATAACAGTAACTAATCAATTTATCACTAATATCATTTTACTTTATGTCACCAAAAGGTTTAACCTTACCCTTTTTTCACATATAAAAAATTGATTACTTCCAATAATAGAAAATGCATTTTGAGACCAATAGCGTAGCCGCGTAGGGATAATGACAATCCAGAAATAGCCTTGATGTCCTTTCCCTTTTTAGTTCAATGAATAAATTTAAAAGCCTTTCTTTTTCGATCAGCACTATTATAAGAATAAGAGGGTCCCTTCCAGCTAACCACTGGCATTATAAAAGGGTCTTTTTTTTTTTATGAGGTAAACCTACGACCCTTAAGTCAAAACTGGCTTTTGAAATAGTCATGACCTCAAAATGAATTTTCATTTCATGACACGGCGTTGATTTTTTCAGTTAAACCAGCTCATAGAAAATAAATTGAATTAATACGTGTTCATGACACATTAGAGTTTTAAGAAGAGCTAGTGCATTATCCTGCAATGTACAGAAAAAAATCAAAAATTTTGTCGTTAATTGTAATTAGTTAATTTTAAAAAAGTGTCACTATTTAAGAGAAATGATTTGATAATGGAAACAAGTTAGTCTATTAGAAATTAACAAAATTAAATAAAAAACACAAAATCATAAAATTCTAACTAATTATCGCCTGACAAAAATTTTTTAATTCAAACATGATTCAGAATATATAAAAATTAAAAGTTTAACAAACTTATTTCCTAAAGAGAGTAAACCCCTTCTATATAAGTTATCCAACCATACATCTAATTAACACAAAAATAAAAGAAAGAAAGTAAATCATAAACATACTTATTTGGATCAAAAATGAAATCTTTTGAAATGGAACCTACCATTTTGATTAATTGACGTGCATTAACGAGTAAGCCTAATCTATTTCATCCCACTCAACATCACATTATAATAAACATCACAAAGCAAAGTCGCACGTTGTCCGTCTTTGTCTGTGTGCAGTGGATACCCACCTAGAACACAGCAGTTTTGCGCGTTTGCTCACACAGCCAAATCCAATCAGGATTTGCCACGTCGACTCATGCAAGAGGGTGACAACCATGTTGTGGACCCCACTCTTTAAGCAAAAACACACCGGTCAAAACCGCGGCTTAACTCAAGCCAGCTTGTCCACTTCGCCCTTCCTTACATATATGTTTTTTTTCTTAATATAATAATAAACATAGATAAATTATATGATGCAACACATGTATAATAATATACAAATTCAAGGGAAAAAATTTTTGTATTTTTTTTAGTTGTTTATAAATATATAGAGAGCAAAAAATATAATTTTAATATTATAATTATCTATTTTTTGAAATATATAATTATAAATAGTTAAAGTGACATGTTGGACAAACCATTTTCCCTAAATATAAAGAGGAAATATTTGTATTACCAAAAAAATTTATTACCCTCATAATTATCATTAAATTAGCATTTTCTCTCTTTTCAAAATTTCTTCAGTAATATCTCTTTTCAAAAAAATTTTAATATTTTTTCTTTTTAATCCAACAATAATTATGAAAATAATAGATTGGTAATAATTTTTTTTTTATAATAAGAATATAATCCTCGTATATAAAAATGAATGAAAGAAAGATAAGGGCAAAAGGCAGAGCCACTTGAAAAAAGGTTCTGCTTCTTATTGAGAGCCAGCTCATTATAATCCTGACACACACTCTCTCTCTCTCTTAATCTAAGTGTAAAAGGTGGTCGTTGGGTTCATTACTTCACCGGAATCTGCTGAGGTTGCCGGAATGTGGAAATCACGCGCTCTTTGTTGTGCACTAGCACTGCTTCTTCTTCACTCGGTCCTAGTGCTGGTTTCTGCTCAGAGATCTAACACCACCGCTTGGAACACGCTCAATGGTATGTGCTATATGTGACACGCTTTCACGTATCTCTTATTTTACTAGGATCTTTGGTCACCACCATGTTGTCTTCACCTACTTCTTGCTTACACCAAGGATCTGTGCATTTATTGTGTGTGAACTTGGATTTTTTTTATTTTTTTGTTGTTGGAGGAAGCTGAGTTGTTGGTTAATTTGAGCTGAGTAGGGATTTGTAATGTTAATTAATTAGTTTGTTATGGATGATAGATATATTCTTAAAAAGAGTTTGATGTCTCCTTAGTTGAAACAATAGTTAGTTATTGTTGGGGAGACAATTTTAGCCAAATTATCTGTTTGTTGATTCGAGAAATTCTTCATATAATCTCCAAGATTGTTGTCGTTTTTCATTGTACTTATGCACTCTCGTTCCTTTGCTCTTGTTTTTATTTTTTTAAGGAGAAACTTCCACTGTGTGCTAGGTGTCGTGAAACTTACTCGTATAATTGTTTTACAGGAAGTCCTCCATTGGTAATAGCACATGGTGGGTTTGCAGGGATATTTCCTGATTCTAGTGCCATTTCCTACAATTTGGCAACATTAACGAGTCTGCCGAACGTCATTGCATGGTGTGATGTGCAACTAACAAAAGATGCAGCTGGGATTTGCCTTCCAAATATCAACCTTTCCAATTCAACTAACATTGGTTTTTTTTACCCAAATAAAACTACTAGTTACTTAGTTAATGGTGTCCCCATCCGTGGCTATTTTTCTGTGGATTACACCCTCAAGGGCTTAAACGTGGTCTCCGGTGAGTTTTAACTTATCTTTAAAATGTTATTTTGTTGTTATAGACTTCCAGTATTTGATGGACTAACTGATTCTTTTCTACACCATATATGTGCTTGTTGATTAAAGGTCTAGTATCTCATGCAGGATTTTTGTTAAACTTTTCTCTTACTTGCCTTGCTTATGAGATTTGAAATTAATGCTTTATATAGTTGCTTACAATTTCTTGATAATGGACAGTGGTTCAGGGAGTATACTCTCGAACGAACCTGTTTGACGGAAACAGTTATCAAATTCTTACTGTTGATGATTTAGTTCAAACAGTATCCCTACCAGGCTTGTGGTTGAATATTCAGGTAAATGGGATGTATAATCCATTCTCGAGATTCAGTCTCTTTGTTTGTTTTAAAACTAACTCTTGTTTTCTCTGATATTTTGCAGCATGATGCATTCTACACGCAACATAATTTGAGTATGAGAAACTTTGTACTTTCTGTTTCTAGAAGAGTAGTTGTTAATTATATCTCATCACCGGAGGTTGGTTTTCTGAGAGGTATAGCAGCACGCTTCAACCCAAAAATAACAAAACTGGTCTTCAGGTTTATGGGACAGGATGACATTGAACCATCAACCAATCAGACTTACGGTTCACTCTTAAAGAATCTTACATTTATCAAGACATTTTCTTCTGGAATTCTTGTTCCCAAGGGATACATATGGCCTGTAGATGCAAGTCTTTATCTACAACCACATACCTCTTTGGTCTCGGATGCACATAAAGTTGGGCTGGAGGTTTTTGCATCAGAATTCACGAATGATGTTCCTTTTAGCTATAATTACAGTTATGATCCTCTTGCTGAATACCTCCAATTCATTGACAACGGCGACTTCTCTGTTGATGGTGTGCTCTCTGAATTCCCCATAACTCCATCTGAAGCTGTAGGTAAGTAATTTTCCCCCTCCATTTTGTCAGAATAGTCTACCAGAAATACAATGCATTTGATTTGATTAAAATCTAATTCACGTAGGGTATGGTTTGGAATTTGGATGGAGGAATTTAGAGAGGAAGGGAACATTCTAATTATTTGAGAATTTTTAAAAATAAGAGGAATGGAGGAGTAAAATCAGAGATTATCATATAATCTTCCAATCATCACTTATTTGCTTTTATAAACATTTTATAATTTTCTAAATTTATAAATGAAAAATTCCCCTCTCGTCCCTTTCCCTCCAAACTTCTCCTCCATCCAAACATACCCTTATATATTTTTCTATTGATATAGTATTTGTACCTCGGAATGAAGCTGATGCAGCTATAAAGTTCCCTTAAATAAAATTTCCTAGAGTCTTCCTGATCTTGTGCTCATTACATTTGAGTGGATCACCTTATATGTGTCTCTCTTGCATTTGCATGCTTTTTAAATTTTTAAGTGGCCATGGATGGCATGTTTAAACTTTAAATACAGGTGAAATCCCAAAATTTAGTCCTGTGAGTTAAATTTTTTTATTCTCTTAAACGCAAGGATTTATAGTGTGAACTGACATGCCAAATGACACATAATCCTGGACTCTGGTGATCGATCTGCCTGAAATCGGTATAAGCTAGTTTATATTTACTATACAATCTTGATAAGGAGATACTTGCCCTTCCCATGAAGGTGCCACCAAGATAATTATGCAATCCTTTATGAAAGGATGGGCACTGGTGGAATTTATGTTGACTTTGACTATGGATTTCATGTCCTGATGCTGGTGCTAGGGCATGCATAAAGTTACTAAAAAAAATCTTTTAGCCAATCACCCACCACCTCCTGCTGTCATGCTTCCACCTTAAATTAAATTCAGCTTAGATTAGGCTCCTTCTTTAGGCAGGTAGTGATCCTTCTATATATTCTTGAAGCAACTGTCGTAAAAGATTTCATCAGAGATTCAGAGTGTTCAAATTCCTTTCTTCATTAAAGCAAATAACGATTCTTGCTCTCTCGGTATTGCATGCTCATTAGCTATCCAAACTAGTTTTTTTTCCTCAAATTTAAAATGCTTTTGCATATTCTAAACATAAGACATAAATATGTACTTGATATTAGTTGCTCGTAGATTCTACAAACTTATCCTAAAAACTCAGAACATGTCTGTAGGCTTGTTGTGGTATTATTTTTTCTCTATTTTAAGTGGATATTGAGTTGTCTTCTTATAATGCAGGTTGCTTTGCTCACCTTGGCACCAATGCAACGAAAACAGGTATACTTTGCTGTGGTTTTGGAATATGTATTCTTATCCAGTTCACTAGTAATTTGTAGTTGTTTCACTGTAAGATTTTTATCATTCTATGACATCATAGATTTCATCGTTGTTGACTTTTTGCTCTCACTTTTTATCATGTTTCAGATAAAACTTTGGTTATCTCAAAATATGGAGCAAGTGGAGATTATCCTCCTTGTACCGACTTAGCATATAAACATGCTGTATTAGATGGTGTTGATGTTCTTGACTGTCCTGTTCAAATATCAAAGGATGGAACACCATTTTGCTTAAACTCCATTGATCTTTTAGAGAGTACAACAGTTGCTCAATCAAGCTTCAGCAAAGATGCCATGACTATCCCTGAGATCAAGTCTGGCAGTGGCATATTTACCTTCAACTTGACGTGGGATGATATAAAAGGCCTGACTCGTAAGTCAAAAAAAGTTCTTTAGTTAGTTATCCCTACGGTCTAATATTCTTCAGCATTTCCCTATTTGCATTGGAGCTAATCTAGATTTTTTAAAGGTAATTGACTTGTAAAGAACCATTTCAACCTAAAAGATTAAGATGTTAGGTGAAGACCACATTAATAGTTTTATATTATATTTTTTTAACATGCCTACTCACACAAGAGCTTGAGCACCATAATATATCAGGCCTTGCCAAAGTAGGATGTTGGTCTCGACAACAATCCCCCAACACATGCCTTCCGCAAAGTGTCATTCTGGGAAATTGAACCCATGACCTCGGCTCTAAGTATTTACCACTAGGCCAAAGGCTATAGCTGTTGGTTAGGGGCATAACTCCTTCTATTTACCGTTACTAGTCCAAGCGCCATGGTTCGATCTAACTCTGATTCACACCAGACCTTGCCAAGCAGGATGTTGGCCTCACCAACATGACTTATACCTCAAACAAGCCAAAATTCAGAATGATATATATACATACATTAAAACGACTAGTGTTTTAGGAATAATTTGGGAAATTTGCTTACAATTTCACTTTATAGGATAGTCAACGTTTCATTGATAAATTGCCATGGCGGATTTGTCCCTGCCATATCTTTTGATGTTTTTCACTTTGCTATTTGCTGTTTTTATTGATTTGCGTTTTAATGAAGAAATAAAAAATATGAAAAGTGTTATAACAAACATTTGACATATTTTTCTCTTTTCTATGTTCCCTGCAGCCTCAATATTGAACCCCTATGCAAAATTCACATTGCTCAGGAATCCAAAAAATAAGAATGCTGGGACATTTTTAACATTATCAGATTTCTTGTCCTTGACAACAAATCAGACTTCTCTATCAGGTGTCTTGATCATTGTTGAGGTGCGTTCTTCCATGCTTATTATTCCTGTATAGGATTCATTCCACCAGCTGTTATTTGAATATATAATCTTGATAATATGTATGAGAATTTTCTCCAAGTTATATAGTTATTCCTGACTGATTTACCTTGCTGCTTTGAAAAACCTGAATAATCGGGAAATAAGAATAGGAGATATTAAAACTATCCTGCATTTATTTTTGTCATGAGACCTGCTTGACATATTTTTTTTAGCCATACATTCCTTCTAACGTTCTGTATACCTATATCAAAGATTATGAAAAAAATCTTTTTCGCTCTTTTGGGTTCTACTTATACTTCGTCCTGGTAAAAAAATTTCTTTTTGAAACAAAACAAACAAATAACTTACCTGCCCAAAAAATCATGATTCTGTCAATTTCACAAATAATATTTCTTCACTAACTCTCTGCCCCCTGGATTATCTGAACCAAAGAAAGAATCATTTGGTTTCTATTTGTGGTGATAAATAATAGTTGCATGTTCCTAGCATATAAATGATTTTTTCTTTTCTTTTCTTTTCTTTCATTTTCTATTGATTAACATTATGTTGTGTTTTTCTCTTATCAGAATGCAGCCTATCTTGCAGGCAAGGAAGGATTAAGTGTGACTGATGCAGTCATTGATGCTTTGAGCAAAGCAGGTTATGATAAACCAGGGGCCCAAAAAGTTTTTATTCAATCTACTGATAGCGCTGTGCTGCTGAAGTTCAAGGAGAAAACCAAATATGAGCTTGTCTATAAGGTTAACGAGACTGTTAGTGATGTTGATAATAAAGCCGTTCAGGATATAAAAAGCTTCGCTGGTTCTGTGGTCGTCAACAAGGAGTCAGTATATCCTCGTAATAACGGCTTCCTGATTGGCTCTACAACGACTTTGTCAAAGCTAAAAGCTGCTAATCTCTCAGTTTTCGTAGAAACATTCAGCAATGAGTTTGTATCTCAAGCGTGGGATTTCTTCTCAGATGCAACTGTGGAGATCAACACATATATTCAGGCAGTAGAAATTGATGGTGTCATCACAGACTTCCCTAAAACTGCTGATAGATACAGAAGTAAGTGCTAGTGTTAGATATTCAAGTGCAAGTGATGAGTAATTAAGAAATGCCACATTAGTTAGAAATTGATTAACTAAAGACTATATAACTGAAAAGACTCATAAACTCAGTGTTTTAAGATGTGGTGTTGAGTCCCTCTTGTGGTCTTACCTCTTCTAATTACTGATATACTTGTTCTCTATTCTACTGCAGGGAACAAATGCTTAAATTTGGGTAATAAAACACCCGCTTACATGGAATCTGTTAAACCAGGTGGTCTTTTTCCATTCATTGCCAAAAACGAGATTCCTCCAGCTGTGGCTCCATTCCCACCCTTGACAGAATCTGAAGTGGCAGAGTCACCTTTGCCTCCGGTTGCTAAAATAGTCCCAGCTACTGGCCCTGCTGCCGGAAATGGGTCAGCAGCGTCGCCGCCGCAAGGAAATGCACAGCCTAAGGTCACTGTCTGCTTCTTCTTGTCCAGTCTGGCAGTGTTTGTGGCTTCTCTTCTTCTGCTTTGAGTGAAGTCATATTCCCACTTCCTGCCATAAACTACACCAAAAAAACAAACAAAAAGAAAGGGTTGCTTTTTGCTGCTTTCAACTCTCTATTTCCCCATCTCTTCTAGGATTAAGTGACATGCAGCTTTTGGATTGAGACTACATGAATAATCCAGACTTTGTTGTTTTTTTCTTTTTCTTTTTATTTTTTAATTTTTTTGTACTTAAAAAGAGAAAATTCTTTCCCTTATTTCTTCTAGCTATGTATGTTGATTCTTAGTTTCCCAAATCACTTCTGGGGTTTATACTATGAGCACGGAGGGATACATATCTATGCATTCTTTTTAGATTTGTATTTTGTATCTTTTGTTTATAATTATATTTGTTGGTGTGCATTTGGCATGAGATAAACAAGTTGAGTTCCGGATCCAAGTTTATTTAAGAATTATCCAGAGCTTGAGCACTGGTTAATTGTTTCAGTTTAAGGAACTGCAATTACTTAATTGCATGACAGAGCTATTGAATAGAAATCATAATTAGGTCGGCACGGCACGATGCATGTTGACTCATAGTAGGTATGAAAATGTCAAAATTAATTATTAGAATCGTTAAGTTTTTATTTGTATAAAAAAATAAAAAAATGTGGGTCATTAACCCGCAACTTGCACATAATTATACTAGGATATAAAGTCGTTAGTTCTAATTATATTCGGCTCACAATATGTGGATCTGTGTAGGCTTGCCAAGCCGAGTCCACACCCCTAAACATAAGTAAGATCTTTATCTAATTTTCAAAATCATGATTCAATTATAGTTTTTGGATTAGTCACAGATATTATTAGGGTTTTCGTTTTATCCTTTAACATAACACAACAAACTTTCCTACTTTCACAACATTTTGTGGGGCCCACACTTTTTAAAACAAAAAAATAAATAAATAATTAAGGCACGCAAAACGAATCTCTATAACATTACACAATCACTTTTCCTACAACATAACTCTTATAAAACTCATATTATTAACGAGTAAAGTACACCAATTAAGATTGCACAATGGGCATTGACAAAGTGGTAACACTGGTTCAGACCTTGGGAAGGCAATATTCCCATCCTACGGGTCAATGTAAGGGAAGCCATTACGATTATCTTGTTAATTTTTTTCATTATTATAAACTCTGCATCCGTTGTCCGTGGGGTGGACCATGGTGGATTGTAGCATTTGGAAATAGTGGCCATTTGTGGCTGTGGATTATGTTAAACAAATGGGATAACTAAGCATAGCTTCTCCTTTTCTATGAACTATTGTGGATTTCATTTGAGAAACATATGCTCATCTAAGAAAGATGTAAAGCTAATCATGATAATGATAGCTAATACTGGTGTCTATTAACATATTTTAATTTTATCAAAACTTTACACATCTCAGTATGCTTAATCTAAGTGGTAAGAATAAAAACAAGAGTTGAGGGTAAAAAGAGTAAAATTTAACAGCGATTGACATGGTCTGTTTTTACAAATTTTCCCTTCAGTTCTCCAATTTCTAATTTGATTTGTAAAGGCCAGTTGTCTATATATTGTTTTGTTGTGTTTATACGAGAAATTAGAGATGTTCAAAGCTCTAACCACGTGGGTGGGCGTGATGGTTCAGCATCTCGTCACTTAAGCAAGTGGTTGGGGGTTCGAATCCCAACTCTTGTGAATGGAAAACATTCTGTGACCAGCTCTTTACCGCATTGTGCGCTGAACCGAGTTCCCAACACAATTTGATAAGTTCTTAATGCAAAGTGTCTCAAAAAATAGTAAAAGGGTTTGTATTTTGTGAAATAAAAAAAATGTATATGATAAGTCTAAGAACAATTGAGTTGGACCTAATAACAGACAGTTTAAGGTATAGGATGTTGGTGAAGAGAATAGTTGATGACGAATGACTTGCCGAAATGATAGGCTTATGGCGAGATGGTTGATTTGGGACGCTAGAGATCTGAGCGGTTTGAGGAGACTGAGCGATTTCAACACTCGAATCAGCTTGGTATTCAATATAGTTCAAGTATTCAAAGAGAAATGATGGCTGAAGACTTTTGTATTTATAGTGAAAGGATGTCTTGTTTCATATCGTCTTTCAATGACAGTATTCACTGCTATTGATGGAGCATGGTGCTCTTTCTCATGTTATTCCTTTAGGATTAAGTTACTGTTTTTGGACTTTCTAAACTTCAATTGGATTAGACCTCTATTTCGCATATAAGTGGCAATGTGGGCGGCCGGCCCGTCCCGACGATTCAAATCTATTTTACACTAACTTATCCCGCTCCACCATCAACTTGCCAAAAAATAAATCAATCCACCCCATCTCACCCGTTTGTCAGACCCTAATTTCGCATATATAAGGTATCACTAAGTAAAAAAATCCCAGATAACGAAATAAAATTTGGAATCTACCATAAATGGACATGTCTAAAACAATAAAAATAATAAAGTCAAGAAAAAGAAAATAGTTAAGCCACGTAAAGACGTTAGTATTTTTTTTTTTTTTACATGCTTATTTTATATTTGGTAGTTTAGACTTTAGAGAGCGAGTGTCCAATTCAAAGTCTATAAACCTTCATTATTGTAGTACCCAGAGTATTGAATAGAATATTTCAAAATTTCCACGTGTTTTCTTTATTGTTCATGTGTACTGTTTAGTTTGTTTTTAATAAATATCTTTTGAATTCTCAACAAAAAATATAAAATTTATTTTAATTTCTTAAAAAAATTGACTTGTGAATTTTATGAAATTTCAGCTATTTTAAATTATGGTCCCAAACCTAAAAAAAACCTAATATAAATATTTTTTTCTAAAAAATTAAAATGAGTTTGGTATTTCTTGTTGAGGGCTAAAATGGTATTTAATTTTTTTTAGACTAGTTCTTTGTATTTTTAGCTTTACCATGAATGTTATCTTATTCGTCAATTTTCTACAGGCCCAAGTCAACTTTACCGTCTTTACGCGTTATATTTATCCTGAAATTCTTCATCATATCACAATGAAATGCGTTAAAATACGTTGGGCAAGTTATAGTAACAGTTTGCATGACAATGAGCATGCATTTCATTCAATTTCACATTATTTAATGATTTTAACCTTTATAATAATTTATTATAGTCAAACTTCTTAAATAATTTATCAAATATAATTAAATAAGATGTTTTGTTAAAAAAGTTTTAGATTGGATTTTTTCATGTTTCATTTTTATATGATCATACCATTTGAAAAATTTAAGTTATTCATTTGTAGATCAATGGTCATTAATTAAAATGATAATTATTACTTTCTCATTTAACGATTTTTTCATTAAAATTTTAATCATTGACTTATGAATAAATAATTGAAATCTTTCATATGACATAATTTTTTTTTTTTTTTTTGTAATATTCACATGACATAATTATATAAAAACAAAATATGAAAGAATCCGTTTTAAAAATTCATTATATTTATATATTCATTACTTTACAAAATTTGAATTTAAATTAATTAATCAATGCAAGAGTCATTGTAATAATGAGCGTTATTTAATGATTTTCAAAATAATTAAGATTATTAATTTAAAAATTCATCCACAAATAATAACGAGATTCCTCGATTCTTTTCTCTTTTTTTTTTTGTAATAAGATTCCTCGATTCTTTAGGTACGTAATGTCATGATTTTTTTTTATTTTTTTGATATGATGATGTCGAATAATTTACTAAAAAATGTCAAAGATAATGAATGGCAATTAATAGTTTAAGAAATATGGGGGAAAAGCTATGTGTTTCGCAGCCTTTTCTTTTTCTATTTGAGACCTCCATATTTGGCACGTCATGCTTTTGTTCTAATGATGTCATTCGCTTGGAGAGGGATTTATTTTCCATCAAGCTGTCACTGTTTACCAATTTGTCACAGTCGGTGCTAAATAATAAATTATAACAATACTCATTTAAGTCATTTTGTATTTCAATTTACAAATAATAAATGCAATGCAGTTTGAAGGTCTCTACGCGGAGAAGAGTAAACTGACAATATTTTTTTTATATCGATTATAATTATCTCTTTATAATTATCTTTTTAATGTGAATCAGCTTCCGTATATTTTCATAAATTTCAATTTTTTAAATTAACAACGAGATTAATTCTGAATCAGAACTTAATTACAGTTATGAACATATTTTAAAGGGTTTTATAAGAGTTATGTTGTAAGAAAAGTGATTGTGTAATGTTATAGAGATTCATTTTGCTTGCCGTAATTTTTTTTTCTTTTTTCTTCAAAAAGTGTGAGCTCCACAAAATATTGTGTGTGTAAAAAAATTTGTTGTGTAATGTTAAATGACAAATACAAACCCCTATTTTAAAAAACGTATTATTTTATTTCCTATTGTTCTTTGTTCACTTTCTACCTAATACATTTATAACAATTGGGAAGTATCACGTGCAGTACATGGAATAATCTTAAATTTAGTTTAAAACTAACAAGTATATATTAAAAGAAGATATTAAATATATAATAAATATATACACAATTAATTAAGGTAGAAAAATTACACTTTAAAAGAGGACAAAATTTAAAAATTACATTCATAATCTATTCAAAAGATTTTAAAGAAAAATTTTAAGAATAAGAAGTGTTATTTTTAATGAGACTAATTCACTTTTATACGAGTATGACTGATAAATTTTTTCTACAATAAAAATAAAAACATTAAACTTTTTTTAATACCTTAGATGATGTGGTTCCAATACATTGACATGTAAAATAAAAATCTAATTTTTTATCCTTTATTATTCAGTTATTTATTTATTTTTTAATTATCATATACCAAAAGAAAAATCTTAACTATCACAATATCTAAGAGTTTTTTTTTAATAATATCTCATTTAAAAAAAATATATGTGTTAACTGACATGAATAACTAGTCATATCAACATTTGCTAACACGTATTTTATAAAAGAGTTTGTATTTTCTTATGTAGTAGGAGGTATCTTCTCTCATGTGGTAGACTCAAAAGTATTGTGGGTCTCATCACAATAAATAAAAAAGAAAAGAGAAGACACGTATTTTGATGTATGTGTAAGAAAAATATTCTCTCTCCTGCAACATGAGAGACATATTTCCCTTTATAAAAAGGTTTCAAGTACTTGAGTTTGATTCCAAACTTCATGTATATTAAAAGGGTCAAACGATTGTCATATTACAGCAAATTAGTCCCATCATCCTATATACATAAAAATCAATGGAGCCCACCATTATTTTTTTAGAAAATAAGATAAAACATAAAAACACAAATTTTGAAATGTC